GAAAATAATAGAACAGAATATATAAAATGAATAGAATAGAATAGAATGGGGGGAAAGAGCAGAATAGAATAGAACAGAACAGAATAGAACAGAACAGGGAATAGAATAGAATAGAATAAATAAAAATAATAGAACAAAATATAGAAAATGAAAATGAATAGAATAGAAATAGAATAGAATAGAATAAATAAAAATAATAGAACAGTATATAGAAAATGAATAGAATAGAATAGAACAGAACAAAATAGAATAAATGAAAATAATAGCACAGAATATAGAAAATGAATAGAATAAAATAGAATATAGAAAATGAATAGAATAGGACTAGAATAGAATAGAATAAATGAAAATAATAGAACAGAATATAGAAAATGAATAAAATAGAATAGAATATAGAAAATGAATAGAATAGAATAAATAAAATAGAACAGAATATAGAAAATGAATAGAACAGAACAGAACAGAACAGAATAGAATAGGGGGAAAGAATAGAATAGAATATAGAAAATGAATAGAGTAGAATAGAAATAGAATAGAATAAATGAAAAGAATAGAATAGAATAGAATAGAATAGAATAGAATAGAATAGAATAGAATAGAATAATTGGAATAGTATATTGGAATAGAACATTGGAAGAGAATATAATAGAATAAGGAAAAGAATAGAATAGAATAGAATAGAATAGAATAGAATAGAATAGAATAGAATAGAATAGAATAGAAGGAACAGAGTTGGAAGGGAATTTAGAGGTCTTCTAGTCCAACCCCCTGCCTAGGCAGGAAACCCTACACTACTTCAGACAAATGCTTGCCCAATCTCTTCTTAAAGACTTCCAGTGTTGAAGCATTCACAACTTCTGGAGGCAGGTTGTTCCACTGGTTAATTGTTCTACTTTTGTCTAACTTTTACTTTTTTTTATGATTTCAACTTTGCAAGAAAAAAAGAAACTTCATTTATGGAACGAAATTAAAAATCTATCTTTACATTGTCCTCTTTGCTTTGAAGATGTCGAAAAGGGATGAGAGAATTAATAGAGTTGGAAGGGAACTTGGAGGTCATCTGGTCCAACCCCCTGCCTAGGCAGGAAACCCTACACCACTTCAGACAAATGCTTGTCCAATCTCTTCTTTTAAAGACTTCCAATGTTGGAGCCTTCACAACTTCCGAAGGCAAGTTGTTCCACTGATGATTTGTTTTAACCGTCAGGAAATTTCTCCTTAATTCGAGGTTGCTTCTCTCCTTGATTAGTTTCCATCCGTTGCTTCTTGTCCTCTTCTCTGTGGCAACCCCTGAGATATCGGAACACAGCTATCATATCATCTCTAGTCCTTTTCACTAGACTAGACATACCCAGTTCCTGCAACCGTTCTTCGTATGGTTTAGCCAGACATGCTTTGTTTCGCAGGTGGAACACAAACCTACCAGGACTTGACTACTACGAGGTAATTTTCTTAGGGCTGACCCTAAAAAACTACAGTATTCAGAAGATGAAAGGCATGTGAAACATAGCGACGACGCTGGTCACCTGTGCAAGCTCCAGGAATCATTTAAGATTGCCTTCAAATATCTACCCATTGTCGGCGGGTTTACTAGATGCAAACTTTAAAATGGGATTACAGGTAGGCCTCAACTTACGACGACAATAGAGCCGACATTTTCTGTTGTGAAGTGAGACATTTGTTAAGTGAATTTTGCCACATTTTACGGCCTTTCCCTCCCCCCCACAGTTGTTCAGTGAATCACTGCCGTTGATAAGTGAGTAACCCGGTTGTTAAGTGAATCTGGCTTCCTCCATTGAACTCGACCCCTTGGAAGGGCGCAAAAGGGGAATCTTGTGACCTTGGGACACAGCCACGGTCGTAAGTATGATCATGGGGATGCTGGAAAGGTCATAACTGTGGGAAACGGTCCTAAGTCACTTTTTTCACGGCCGTTGTAACTTCAAACGGTCACTAAATGAACCTGTCATAAGTCAAGGCCTGCCTGTATAAGTGGTGTAAAACATAGTGACTATGTTGCTGCCCTGTGAAAGCTTCAGGAATCATTTAAGATTGTCTTCAAATATCTACACATTACCAACTGCTTACTATCCTGTTTCCCCGAAAATACCCTGAAAGTAAGCCCTAGCTTGATTTTTACACGCGTGCCCAATATAAGCCCTACCTCCCCAAATAAGCCCTAATTAAGATCCCGCCCACTCGAGTGGACGGGTAAAAATTAAGCTAGGGTGGAGCTGCCCTACTACTTACCTTTGGACAGGTGTAGCCAGGCCTCGCACACCTTGACACCTGCCTTGCCAGACCCTTTCTTCTGCAGCTAGCAAGGCTGGGAAGGCTTTCCTGAAGGCCTCTGGAGCTAAGAACAAAGCTCTGGATCGATCCAAAGCTCCGTTATTGGCTGCAGAGGCCTTCAGGAAACCCTTGCCGGCCGCAGAAGAAGAAGTTCAGTTGCGGTCCTAAGTTGAGAACTACCTGTTGTAAACAAAGGGAAGTTTTTCCAAAACTCTTGCAGACTAGAATATCCACGAAAAGAAGAGGCGGTCAACCTATTCTCCAAAGCACCTGAAGGAAGACAGGAGAAGAAGCAGCAACAGATGGAAACTCATCAACGAGAGAAGCAACCTAGAAGTAAGGAGGAAATTCCTGACAGCGAGAACAATTAACCCGTGGGACTGCTTGCCACCAGAAGTTGTGGCTGCTCCAACACTGGAGGTTTTCAAGAAGAGACTGGACAACCATTTGTCTGAAATGGTTTAGGGCCGTAATGGCGAACCTATGACACGCGTGCCACAGGTGGCATGCAGTGTCATTTGTGCAGGCACACGAGCCCCAGGCAAACTTACCTCACTGAGCATGCGCATGCCTCCCCGCTGATTTTCAGGCCTTTTTTTGGCTTCCCAGAGGCTCGAGGGAAGCCTCTGCGGCCTTTGGAGGCCGAAAAACAGGCCCGTTTTCCGGAAATACAGGAAGTGACAAAACGGGTCCATTTTGACGCATGCAATTTTGGCACAGGAGCCCCAAAAGGTTAGCCACCACTGGTTTAGGGTCTTCTGCTTGAGCAAGGGGTTGGACTAGAAGACCTCCAAGGTCCCTTCCAACTCTGTTATTCTGTTATTTTGTCCGCACAAACATCACACAAGGTTCCTGAATATTTCTTGAAACTGTCCCAATTTAGTCTACCTTCAACTTTTTTAAAAATTTGGCTTGAATTTAACATCTGCTTTCTTGTACTGTCTATGTGGGATGCCATAATGCCAACCCCTGAATTCATCCAGCTTAGATGAGACACGAGATAGAAAATACAGATTTATTTCATGCGTTGAGGTGTCTCCTTTGGTAGACAGTTTCCCCTGATGGGAAAATGTGATCTCCAATTCTCCGATACTTGCCTCATATTCCTTGTCCACGGCTCTGGGGTTGAGAAGGAAGTCCGGATATCCGATCATCACCATCATGTGCTTCAACTGCAAGAGAAGCTGGTTTCAAACACCTGGCTGACATCTGGAGAATCGGCACGAGAGAGTTGGCAACATGGTGCCCGCTGGCCCAACTGAGGTCTCAGCTGGGTGTGGATGGCGGTACTCACCATACTCTCCTGAGTCAACTGGGAATTTTTTAAACAACGAACCTGGGTAAGTTTTTTGGGGGGGAAAGAGTGGGGGTGGGTGGGATAGGAATAGAATAGGAATAGGAATAGGAATAAAACCAGAACAGAATAAAACCAGAACAGAATCAGAATCAGAATAGAACAGAATAAGAATAGAATAGAATAAGAATAGAACAGAACAGAATAGGAACAGAATAAAAACAGAACAGGGTAGAATAAGAATAGAATAGAATAAGATTAAACCAACAAAACAGAATAGAATAAGAATAAAACAGAACAGAACAAGAATAGAACAGAGTAGAATAAGAGTACAACAGAACAATGGAACAGAATAAGATTAAAACAGCACAACAGAATAGAATAAGAATAAAACAGAATAGAACAAGAACAGAACAGAACAAGAATAGAACAGAGTAGAATAAGAGTACAACAGAACAATGGAACAGAATAAGATTAAAACAGCACAACAGAATAGAATAAGAATAAAACAGAATAGAATACTGTAGAGCAGAACAAAACAATATAAGAACAGAACAGAACACAACAGACTAGAATAAGAATAAAACAGAATAGAATACAGTAGAACAGAACAGAACAATATAAGAACAGAACACAACAGAATAGAATAGAATAGAGGTTTCCAGTGATTTTTTCAAAAAGGGGCCCATTTGCTGGAGTGATGGAGAACATCTTAAGGCAGCCTTTCTCATCCCTGGCAACCTTAAGAAATACGGACTTCCACTCCCAGAATTCCCCAGCCAGCAAACTTGCATTGCCCAGGAGTGGGCTGGATGCAACCCAAGTGAAGATTGACCCACACAAAACACAACCCTTTGCCATGGTGTGCTCTCTGTCCCAATCAGGAACGTGCAGCTTCTCGGGCTGAATGGTTCCATTCCCACGATCCCCTCCAGGGCTCCCTACCTTCGCTCGGGCCGCTCGTTGGGTTTCCTCATCCATCCATTCCAGTTCTTCGAGTCGCCGGTCAAGGATGTGCTTGATATCTTCCACTAGCTGTTGCACCTGTTCCCAAGAGGTGATTGGAGAATCCCGTCCAATAAGGAAAAGGAGAAAAGAAAACCATACCCACTCGGCATCACAGCCCATTTCTCCGGGTTCTGGATGCTGCAGTAAGGGGGTAGCCTCCGTCAGACCTGCCTCAGCCTGAACTTCTACGAAAGAACCATCCTTAAACTCCATCGGTTGAAAAAGATATCATTTACTAAAGGTCAAGTGTCAGCCTTCAAGATCTTTTCTACTGCTTTGCATCTTTCGGCTGCCATAAGTAACGGGGGGAGGGGATATGTCTGGGAAGAGAGCTGGAGGTGTTACATTCTTGTGTTGTATAAATGAGGAGTGGGGGGGGGAGTATAAATTCCTGCTCTTAAGTTTCTATTCCTTGCTTAGCCTTCTTTTCTCTGCGCAACTGCAAATCTTTATCAAAATATGTCAAGGTCAACGGACAGAGGCCTCATCACCACCTGAAGATGCCCACCTGACCATATCCAGAACTTTTAATTGGAAGAATCTTTTGAACTTTGAGGCGTGGGAACAATTCCATCCCTTTGTATATGTGATCTGCGCGCCTAATTTCTTAGATTCAGAATTTTACCTGAAGCTACCACTTCATTTTTCAGTAAAAGATTTCTTTCCTCTAATCTATGGAGTCTAAGTATTTCTTTCTTGGATTTTGAATGGAGCACAGACTGACATCAAGTGAATTACAGGAATGCAAAGCCAGAACGGAGCAGCGCACGCGCCCAAATCCCCAAGTCTAAATCTCCTTCCCTTCCTTTGGTGCAGTAGTGAGATTCTACCTTCGCCGCTACCAGTTCGGTGGGTGATCGCATGTGTGCGTGCACCCCTCATGCGCACGCTCCCAACAAGCCAATCAGATGAGAGGATGAAGAAACTAAAAGCTAGGAGCGAGCCTCCCACCTCCCCATGTCTTGTTGTTCGCTGGCAGCCTGTGCAGACGGCAGTGGAATCGGACAGTGGGGAAGAACAGGGATCAGTTCGGGAGTCTGGAGAGGACTCGGACGAGGGTCCTGCGTCCGATGCAGAGATGGGGCCAGGACCATTTGGGAGTGGGATGCTGACTCCGGAGCCTCCCGAGTCTGGCAGCAGCGAGGCAGAGGAACAAGGGGAGCCTGTTCCCAGTGCGCTTCTGCGCAGAGCTGCTAGAAGGCAAGAGCAGCTGAAACAGAAGGGGTGACTCGGGAGTAAGGCTGGGAGGTGATTGCCCCTCCCATAAGGGATTAAGGACAGGCCAAGATGATGAAACCTTTGCAGGAAGCAAAGTCGTTCGTTCGATTCAGATTCAGTCTTGAAGCTCTTTGTACTTTGGTTGGTTTTTGTTCTAGTTCATTTGACATTTCTGTTATTTGCCAGCACTTCCCAGGAATGAAAGGTGGGTGCTTATCTCGAGGGACTGTTTGAGATTCATTATCGGCTGGGAATGAAAATAATTCCCAGCGTTGCCATAAAACAAGACTTTTATTACTAAAGGTAAAAAAATAAGATCTTGGATTGGGGGTTTCAGGGATGGTGCATCCACAGGTGATCAAGCCCAGCTTCTCGCGACTTTCCCTCTACCGTAGGCTCTTACCTTGGCCTTGCTGGTGGAGGAGAAGTATTCTTCCACAAACAGGGCCCCCAAGGCCATTCCAAAGTGCTTGTTGGCTTGACTCAAGCAACTCTTGGCCAGCTCCATCGGCCTCTCGGCCCCCTCCATCTCCTTGGCAAACTCATGGATGGCGTCCCGGAACGGGGTGGAAAGATGCTCACTCAGCACCACCGCAATGCGCCAGAGCATGTAGTTGTGAAGGATCCTGGAGTGGAAGGCACACCATCAGAATGGGTTTAGTGCAGGTGTGTGTGTGTGTGATGACCTGGGGCATGGCACAGATAACACAGGCAGCTAGCAATTCAAACCGCCCCTTTATTGCCCCAAATTTCCCCAAACGTTCCCACGTTTCTGGCAAGTCCCAGAGCAAAGCGATCACACACACACACAGACACACACACTGTAAGAGCAGTGCAGCAGTTGAAATCGAAAGTACATTCCAACTCTTTATCTTTCAAAGATTGTAACTAAAATACCAGAGCTTTTGCCCACTAATATATTTCATTGGAGAACATGAATGATGACACCCAGCCTATGAAGGTGCTCAATTGGAGAATCTGATTTATGACACACCCAGGAGGGAGGGGGGAAACAGGGACACAGGTGGCTGTAAAATGACGTATGCCAGAGTTGGCTTCATACAGGGCAGTGCCAGTATGTCACCTCTAATGAATCCTTTTAAGTTTCTTAAAGTTTGGCTCGAGAATCGTGATTTAGTTAGGGCAATTGCTGGAATCCTGACAGCCACACACTGTTGTGGTTTGCTGGCAGCCGGTGCAGACAGCAGTGGAATTGGACAGTGGGGAAGAAAGGGGACCAGTCTGGGAATCTGGAGAGGACTCGGATGAGGGTCCTGTGTGATGGGGCCAGGACCATCTGGAAGTGGGGTGCTGTCTCCGGAGCCTCCGGAGTCTGGCAGCAGCGAGGCAGAGGAACAAGGGGAGCCTGTTCCCAGTGAGCATATGCACAGAGCTGCTAGAAGGTGAGAGCAGCTGAAACAGGTGACTTGGAAGTAAGGCTGGGAGGTGATTGCCCCTCCCATAAGGGATAAATGACCTCAATGACAAAATCTTTGCAGGAAGCAAAGTCGTTCGTTCGATTCAGATTCAGTCTTGAAGCTCTGTGTACTCTGGTTGTTTTTTTCTGGTACTTCGGTTGGTTTCTATTATAATTAATTGGATACTTCTGTTTTTGGCAACATTCCACAGCACTGAAAGGCGTGTGCTTATCTTGGGCAACTGTTTAATATTAGTTCTGGCTGGGAATGAAAGTGATTCCCAGTGTTGCAATAAAATAGGTTTTGCTTTTAAAACAAGTTTGATATTAATTCCGTTTGACGAAGCCTGGGTCAGAACACACACAGAGCGGTGGGATTCAATTGGGGTAACAACCGGTTCGGTGAGCGCACACATTTGGGGTACTAGGCAACCGTCTCACTTTTACGACCGTTTGCAGTGTCCCATAGTCAAGGAAGCACAATTTGCAACTCCCCCCCATCTCCCCCCCCCCTGTTTCCAGTACTTATTTCCAGTTTCTGGCAAAACAAAAAAAACCTTGTGGATTTGCTTAACGAGCATGATGTCATAAAAAAGTAGTTGTAATTTTGAATCTGTTGATGCAAGTCCTCGACTTACAACCATAATGACTGTAATTCCGGCCTCAATTCCACTTGTAAGTCAAGGAACCACATATAGTTCTCAGGTCAGCTTGGCTGGCCATACTTTTCGAGCGAGAAATAAATGTAACACTAGGGAATTAAATAGTAGGTAAAATTCACACCTGTGCTGTTTAGTTCACATCCACTAAACTGCAAAATCCCCCGTGAAACTGGCTTTATTCCAGGAATAATGTGATAAATAGCAGAGATCATAATTTGCTGGATTTGTGGGAAAGAATGTCCATTAAAGGCAAGTGGCTGTGAAATCTCTATTCCTGCGATTTGCATCAATTTAAGGGTGTAATTACATAATAGATGCCAATGGCACCATTTGCAATAAAACCTTGATTTAAGGGATAAGTCTTCAATTTAATGAAGATATCCTTGAACTCAGCTGTGCCCAACCTTGGCGAATTGAAGGCCTAATAGACTTGATCTCCCAGAATCCCCCAGGCGGCTCTGTCTGATGGACTTCATCTCCCAGAATCCTCCAGGCAGCTATGCCTAATGACTTCAGTTCCCAGATTCCCTTAAGCAGCTCAGCTGGGAGTTGAAGACTGGGGGATTTCATCTCCCAGAATCCCCCAGGCAGCTCTACCTGATGGACTTCATCTCCCAGAATCCTCCAGGCAGCTCTGCCTGATGGACTTCATATCCCAAAATACCCCAGCCAGCTTTACCGGGCGTTGAAGACCAATGGACTTCATCTCCCAGAATTCCCCAGCCAACATAACTAGCTGGGGAATTCTGGGAGTTGAAGTCCACAAGTCTTCAAGTTGCCAAGGTTCAGCGCCCCTGATGTAGGGCAGACTTTCTTAAGCTTGGCAGCATTCAGACCTGTGGACTTCAACTCCCAGAATTCCCCAGCCAGCATGGTTCTGCAGCTCATGGCTGCTTTTATTGGAGATGAATCAGTCATTCTGTGTCATGCCCTTGTTGGAGTCCAATTCTGAGGGGGAGATTGAGCAGCTGACAGGGAGTGCGAGTGTGGCTCCAGTGGCTGTGGAAGAAACGGGGGAAGAGCACAATCCGGCTGGGCATTCAGAGGAAAACCCAGGGCCATCTCCTATTCATTCTAGGGCATGCAGGAAGGAATGGAGAAGGGAGCAACATGGCTTATGGGAGAGGAAAGGGCCCTGATCCCCTTCATGGGCTGCAGCTGGAAAGACTGTTTAAAAGGGCAAACTGCGCATGGCAAAGTTGCTGGAAGCAAAGCGTGCATTATCTTTGTCGAGGCTTATCTGGGTTTTGGCGTCCTCCCAAAACCCAGATAAGTTGCTCCGTTACCTTTTGGAAGTCTCCAATTTATCATCCTGGCCTGTCGTGTTAATTACTTCAGCGTGGTTTGTGTTGTTGTTGTTTTTTATTTCTAATTATCTTTACTTTGGGTTTGGACTGCATTTCTTTCCTTCGTAGAGTGTTTTTGGAAGAGTTTGATCTCCAGCCAAGGATAACTGGACACAGGGGGCCAAGTTGGAGGCATTAAAGGGAATTTATCTACTTTGGTGACTTTGTTATTTTGGCGCCACACCCCGGGTCATCATATTCTGCTTCGGGGGGTGGGGGGAGATATTTCAAGGCCCTCTCCTTATTCTGGCAACCCCTTCCCAACCCCTCATCCCCAGCCGTACCTGATCGGCGTCGTTTGGATGATCTCCGAGACCTGCTGCATGTAATCGGTGGCTAAGAGCACCACCTCTTCATCTTCCGAAAAACGCTCGTGGAAGATTCTGTCCAGAAGACGCTTCCATTTTAACTGCAGGAAAGGAATCAAGCAGAGCACGGTCACTTCTGAAACTATTGTTTACATTAATTAATTATCCGTTAATAATAAGAGACCAGCTATTCTTGAAGTTGCCACTGGCTGTGTAATGGAGGGAAGGGTGAAAAAAATCAAGATGGCGGCGCAATGGAAATCCTGTTGGTCAAAATGGGACAGGAATTTTGGTCACATGCCAGTGGCTTCCATCTTGCCTTTAAAAACAAACAAAAAACAACCCAAACTTTAAGTCACCCAGCCAGCTTTCATGCCTCAGGTGAGGTGATCAAAATCCAGACCAAGGCTTCAAAATTTTCAGCAACTGGTTCTCTGCCTGGTTGCTGGGTGGGCGTGGCCATGATGGGTGTGGCCTAGTCAGCCTCCTGCACCACGGTGTGTGTGTGTGGGGGGGTGTTTTCGCCCTGCCCGGGCTCTACAGGCTTTCCTCGAGCCTCCGGGTGAAAAACAGCCTCCCCGGGCTCCGGAGGCCTTCTGGAAGCCAGAAATGGGCCTATTTCCAGCCTTCCGGAGCTCCCGGGAGGCCCATTTTTGCCCTCTCTGAGCCTCCACACAGACCCTGCACTTATCTGGCATCCCAAACGGGACACGTGGGGACTCCTGGGAGGGGTGTGGTGGAGTGGGTGGGGCCAGCCAGCAGTAGGATTTATCGGTTCGCTGAACCGGCCATTAAAAATGATAAAATGAGATGCCAGTTCGCCCAAACTGAGGCGAACCAGTAGCAGCCTACCGCTGATTCAGATCCTTGGCAACTGACTCATATGTATGACGGTTGCAGCGTCTCAGGAACGCTTACATGATCCCATTTTGAGACTTTCTGTTCGGAGTATTGCAGCGTAAATTCAGCACCAGAAAAATAAGCACAGGTGGCTGAGGCTTCATTTAACTTCTTTATAAACACATAAAGTAAATTTTACAATACCAGTTGTAGATTTCTCCAACACGGAGCAAACCCAAACAGAAACAGACATCAGTTTCACTTTATTTCAGCAGGCAAGACGTACAGCAGAGGAGAGAAGCAGTTTCATCTTCAACAGACAGACTCAGAGCTCAACATAGGTTCAGAGCTGCAGAGCTTAATATAGAGCCACGCTTAGGCTCCTTCCAGTTTCAGTTTCGAAACAGTCCTCATTGGCTGACTTAGTTGCTATGCCTATTCATTGGCTGACGTTGTTACCAAGCTCTATTCCGGTTCATGAATATACTCTGACACTTTCTGATGAGCAAAATCCAGGTGGGAAGCCAGATTCACTTAACAACCGCGTGACTAACTTAACAACTGCCATGATTCGCTTAACAAACGTGGCAAGAAAGGTTGTAAAATAAGGCAAAACTCTTAACAAGCTCAACTAGCTAAGCAACAGAAGTGTTGGGTCGATCACCTGACTCTGGGATACTGCAACCATCATAAATGTGAGTCAGTGGCCAAGTATCTGAATTTTGATCATGAGAACACAAGGATGCTGCAACTGACCCGCTTAGCAACGGAAATCTGGGGCTCCATTGTCATTGTAAGTAGAGGAGTCTTCAACTTGGGGGGGGAAAGGGGTGTTGGGGTATAATATGAATTTAATATGAAAAGGGAAGAAGCTGACAATTTGGTGGGTGATCTAACCACACACCCCTGCCCAATGTTCCTCCTGCCCCCTCAGCAGGGGTGGGATTCTACCAGTTCTCACCTATTCGCTAGAACCGGTTGTTAACATTCTAAGCAGTTTGGAGAACCGGTTGTTAGAAGAAATTACAGGGCTAATCCTGTAAGGAAGGCAGGAAGGAAACATTCTGGTGTTGCTTACAGAAACTGCCTCTCCGTTAACCCTTATTACATTCTTGGCAGGACTAGACTTCCTGTCTCAGGAACTTCTCTGGAAATTTTTCCCCCTCCTTTGCTGGTACTTTGCTTGTGTGGAGTGACCATTCAAAGTTACAATGGCACTGAAAAAAGTGACTTATGACCATTTTTCACGCTTACGACTGTTGCAGCATCCCCACAGTCGTGAGAGGCCAGGCGAGGAGATGCGTGCCTCGATGTGAGTGATGTTGAGTTGGCCACGCCCAGCCAATAACATGACCACCAAGCCACACCCACCAACTAAGCCACGCCCACAGAACCGGTTGTTAAAAAATTTGAATCCCACCCCGGCTCCTCAGTGCTCCCTTGGCCCCACATCCAGAGGTGAGATTCAGCTGGTTCTGATCAGTTCTGGAGAACCAGTCGCGGAAACTTCGAGTAGCTCAGAGAACCGGTAAATAGCACCTCTGACTGGCCCCGCCCGCATCTCTTCTCTGCCTCCCAAGTCCCAGCTGATCGGCTGGGTCTCCTTTTGTTGCCCTGCACAGGAGAACGGAGCTGGAAAGCAGGTTAGTGGGGTGGGGGAGGGAATGGGGATTTTGCAGTATCCTTCCCCTGCCACGCCCACCAAGCCGCGCCCACAGAACCAGTAGTAAAAAAAATTTGAATCCCACCCGCTGCCCACATCCCAGCATCCAAACTTACGTTGGGTGTGATGCGCTGCAGTTCTCCCAGAGTGACTTTATTATACATGGAGTTGATATCTCTCCGCAGGTCATCGTACTCGGAGATTGTAATCTGTCAAATGGGGGGAAAGTTAGAATTGGACCAGATCTCCTCTCTCAGCCGGGTCCCATCATCCCCTAACCACCTGGAGGAGGCAGAGGTGGTGAGGTTCTTGTTCCGGTTCCTTCATGGGTCAGAAGCTCCCCAGCCGCCCCCCGCAACCGAAATGAAAGGGTGCCAGACCTATGTTCCTCCCAACTGGTAAAATTTCTAGGAAACCGTACCTGGGCATCGAACCCAGTCATTTTCAACGATATGAAAAAAAAAAGATGTTGAGACTCTAGAAAGAGTGCAGAGAAGAGCCACAAAGAGGATTAGGGGACTGGAGGTTAAAACAGTGATCCCCAACCTTTTTTATGCCGCGGCCCGGTACCGGCGTCAGCTGGGCGCCGCCATCTTTTTTTGATGAAAAAGTTCTTCCGTTGACCTCACCGGAAGCACTTTTTCGTCAAAAAAAAATGGCAGCGCCAGCGCTTCCGGTGAGCTTTTCTGGGTAGAAATGGCTTTCTACCCGGAAAAGCTCACCGGAAGCGCTGGCGCCGCCATCTTTTTTTGATGAAAAAGTGCTTCCGGTGAGCTTTCTACCCGGGTACGCCGGACCGGTACCGGTCCGCGGACCGGTGGTTGGGACCCCTGGGTTAAAACATACGAAGAACGGTTGCAGAAACTGGGTATGTCTAGTCTGATGAGAAGAAGGACCAGGGGAGACATGATAGCAATCTTCCAATATCTCAGGGGCTGCCCCAAAGAAGAGGGAGTCAAGCTATTCTCCAAAGCACCCGAAGGCATGTCAAGAAGCAACAGATGGAAACTAATCCAAGAGAGAAGCAATTTAGAATTAAGGAGAAATTTCCTGACAGTGAGAACAATTAATTAGTTGCACAACTTGCCTCCAGAAATTGTGGATGCTCTATCACTGGCGGTTTTGAAGAATAGACGGGATAACCATTTGACAGATATGATACACAGGGTGTCCTGACTGAGCAGGGGGTTAGACTAGAAGGCCTCCAAGCTCCCTTGGAAGAGATTAGTAGAGCTTAATCTGTGATGGTTAGAAACCCAGCTTGCTGGGTTTGTGGATGGCTGCAGGGGAGGTGCAAGCCCTGAACATGGGTTTGTCTGGTAACCAGGTTAAACATGTGGCGTAAACGCTGCCAGAGTAAGAGCAGAGGAACGAAGGATATTGGTACCATCTCTCAGATATTTTTAGTTCCCCCCCTCCCCACTTTGAACCCAAAGCACTACCTGGCTGTACCAAAGGGCTATTTTGGAAGAGGAGTCGGCCGATGAAGGCAGCCCCCTCTGTGTCCCTTTTCTCGGGGCCAGTTTTGGGGTCAGGGAGCGAGAAGGCCAAGATGGCGGACTCACATTGGCCAGCCTCTGCTCCAGCTGGAGAATCTCCTTGGCTTTCTGTTCCACGTTTTCGGCACCCAGCAGATTCAAGAGGCGCTCCATGAATACGCCATACGCGGCCAAGATCTGGAAAAGACAAGATTTTGGAAGTCCAGGAGATTTGGTCTGCAAATCAGGTCCCCAACAGAGCAGGTGGTCAAGCTATTAGCGCAGTGGGAAGGCCTTTCTCAAGTCGATCAAGGAGAGAAAACATATTTTCTTGGCTGATGGATTCTCATGTTCTCGGAGGATCCATCCCTGCTCAGGCCCTGTTTGGATCCCTGTTTCTGAGGCTTCCCAGGCACCTGCTCCCTTGATGATCTGTCCTGTAAAAGCACTGAATTTCCCACAATGC